CGTTGCGCGGAAAAAGGAAAAAGATGTCTGTCAGCTTGCCTCGAAAAGACTTTATCATAACTATCAGCACGGTCTTAGTTTTCGAAATTTAGAGGAGAAACGGGTGGAATTTCACCTATTTCATGAATTTTAATCGCCGAAATACACCGACTGTTTACCATCAAATGCTGCCGAGGAGCGCGAGAGATGTTGCGAGAGACGGTCAAAAGTTGCGCGTCGGGAATCCCCTTCTATCCGCGTCATCCTGGCTACGCATTTCTTTCAATGGAGATGGAATGACAAAGAAAAATTACACAAAGAGTTGATTAGGAAGCGGTAGAATTCAAATACCTCAGGATATTATGCGAATCACTGTCTGTTTTTAATAATTTCCAAAGATGGTTTCCTGTTGTCAACTTAGACTTAGTTTGTGGTAGAGGTTTATGTACATTTGAAATTCATATGAATATAATTCATTTATAAAAGGTGAAGATTTACGGAGTATATGATTTTCCTTGATGCGATGACAGCCGTTACATCCTGAAATAACTTATAAATCAAAGTGCTGTATTGAGAACTATTGTATGCAAATACATGTGAAGACTCGTGTGGAGGAATCTATATAAAGCAAAGGACTTTATACTGTACACTGCGTTGATGTCAAATATTAATTAACAAATGTACACGTACACTCACACACACACACACATACATACACACACACACACACACACACATACACACACACACACACACACACACACACAAACACACACACACACACACACACACACACACACACACACACACACACACACACACATATATATATATATATATATATATATATATATATATATATATATATGTATGCATGTATGCACACACACACACACACACACACACACACACACACACACACACACACACACACACACACACACACACACACGTATGTATGTGTGTGTGTGTGTGTGTTTGTATGTAGTATATATGTGAATGTGTACATTTATGTATATATATATATATATATATATATATATATATATATATACATATGTATGTACATACGTACATACATACATATATATATATATATATATATATATATATATATATATATATATATATATATATATATATATGTGTGTGTGTGTGTGTGTGTGTGTGTGTGTGTGTGTGTGTATACATATATATACATATATATATACACACACATATGTATGTGTATATATATACATATATACACATATATATGTATATACATATGTGTATATATGTATATATACACATATGTATGTATATACATATGTGTATATATATATATACATTCATACATATATGATATATATATTTGTGTGTATGCATGTATTGCAAACATACAAGCCATAAACAATATATTCTCTTTATACAGACATAAAATTTATAAACAGATTGGTGTGTAGTGAAACAGGGGGGGGAGATGTCACCCCATTGTGTGGTAATCTGCCCCCCCCCCTCAGGAGTGATACACGCAATACAGTATGTCATTTATTAGGATCAGTGTAAACCAGTTGTGGGAAAATTGGTAATAAAGTGTTCAACAGATCTATTTAAAACACTAAGATATAAGTTCCCTCTTGGAAGATTCCTCTGAAATCACTGAAATACTAAAAAAAAAAAAAAAAAAAAAAAAAAAAATCTGGTTGAGCTGCGCCCCACACACCCTGACCGGCACTTTGCTTCTATGCCCCTATACTGTACAAGTCGCCCCCTTCCTCCCCCCTGTGGAACAAGGTCTATATAAGTATTAATATAGACCTTGCTGTGGAACACCCTGCTTGATCTACCAATGCGTGTCTGGCGTGATCTGCCACTGTGTAAGTTTGTGTGTGAGTGTGTGTGCGTGATGTGTACTTACCAGCGCCCCATGCATTGACATTGATATTTGGTGTTTGTGTGTTTATAACACGGGGTTATGCGTATGCGTGAATGTATTTGTATATGCCCGTGTGTGTATTTGAGCACGTACACGTAACCACTAAGGATTCTTCTTTGGACTTTAGACTTATCAATTATTAATGCTATCTGGAAGAGAACAAAGTAAAAAAAAAAAAAATTTTAGGCACACCTCATCGTACAAGTCTGGGTGACCAAGCTTATATTATTGCAAGGCTTTCTCCAGAACCTTAATCAAGAAATGGATACACACATAATGGCGTAAGGGTAAAAGGATTAGTTTATATTTTGAAAGCCGTTTTTGTTTTCTCTTTTTCACGACTCGATTGGCAACTGGCGGCTATCTACTGGGTTTATGACTCATGGGTCGATCACAGACGCAATCCCGAGAGGAAGCGGAGACGATAGTAATTATGAAAACGTTTCAGGCATCATTCATTCATTCAAATATTTAACCTGCGTTTACGATAAATAACAATGAGTGAGAGAAAACTTCCTTTAAATCAGAGTAATGTATATGTGTGTATATGTATAAATATATATGTATAGGTATGTATATATATATATATATATATATATATAT